ATGTGTGTATATATATATATATATATATATATATATATATATATATATATCTTTACTTTTAACTTAATATGTGCTTTTCGCGTCGGCTTAATAAGATTCATAATTGTCTGCCATAGTAAATTAAAAGCCATAGAGATAGAGTCGACTAGGCGGATAAGGGCCAGATAAGAGCGGCTGAAAAAGGGATGGGGAAAACGGTAGGAAAGGAAGGGTAGGACGGGATATGAAAGATGAGGTCCCGATAATCGAACGGTGAACTGGATCAATTAAATCCTCCGGGGTAGACATTAATTATCGAAGGTGTCGTCGACAGTTTCCGATCGCGCGTGCAATCGAGGTACGATATTCGGAACGAGTTCAGGATTTTGCCTGCGGCGCATCCTCTTCCTGTCCTACAATCATTCCCTTCGCCTCTTCTCTGATTGGCCCTTCGGCTTGATTCGAAATACGTAAGATGGCTTCTTATATATTAATTTCTATTTTCGCTAAAAATAAAATATCAACATAATTTGTTTCAGTTGATGTAATGCCAGCAAAATGATAAAGATTTGATTTGGTCTGATAAAGATTTGATTCGGTTAATAAAGATTTAATGTCTTTTAGTCGAATACTCAGATATTAAAAATATCTGAAATAGAGATCGATATCTCGTTCATCATATGTATTCTTGAATTCTGCGTTTGTCAATTGATCTCAATTTACAATCGTGCGAGGATAAATTGCGGATATAATCCATGATTGAGGTAAATATGAAGGATGTTATGTAAACGCCGATGCTGACGCAAATCAAATTATTGATAATTCACAGTGAATTTTGATGCTGCTGATCGGCAAATATAGTTGCTGCGACTGAGCACGAAGTAATAGGATCGTACCGAAAGTCGATACTCGTCATGACGAGATCTCGCGTCTTAATCGGATTTTATCACAGATTTTTCGCGATTTAATATTGCGTGCTATTTCTCGTCACTGAATATCGTTATTTTTGAGGTGAATGACATTTTGATTATACATTTTTATATATGCATTGCAAAAATTGTTTAATCTTAATTTAAGTAATATATATA